TACCGTGCATAATGGCGCATCCTCTTTAAGAAAAGGTAAACATTAATAATCGCTGCTGCCGTGTTGGGCAGCGTCAAAACACGTAAATCGGGTAAATGGCCAGTATTAACGAATCAGGGTCAGAAAATTTCGGGACTTGATTCCCCAAAATCTGTAGGAGCGATTTTGATAAGACTGGTACCATTCGAATGGGCTGAAAATTAGTTTTCTGGTGGTATTTCGAGATTAGAATTAGAATTTACTCGTGGTAAATTTCGGTACTTGATTAAGGGTCAGAAAATTTCGGGACTTGATACATTTAAGCGAATAAAATATACCCTTGTTCTCTACGAGTACCGGATATATCCAATAGTTCAGTTGTCCAGTTAGGTTCATATCCTTTAAAAAAATACACCCTTGTATTTGCTTATTCTAACAGGGTCTCCTACTAAATATTTATGCCTTGGAAATACCTTAACAATGTTATAACATGTTTTCAAAATAAACTTTTATTCTGTTTACAAACATCGATTGGCCTCATTTTTATAGTTCTGTGGTTGTAGTCTTCTACAAGTGAATTCCATCGATAAATTCCATTAAAACTAAACATTTTCCACATCCTATTTTTTAAAGTTCTGTTAAATCGTTCACAAATCGAAGCCTTAAGGTGTGTAAACGTATGATAATGATTTATATTATTTTTCTTCATAAGCTCTTTAAAGAGTTGATAAAAAAAATTCTTTCAATAACGATTTCATAACAGTTGCAACATCCATTGCCGATTTTGATTTTACAGGCTTAGCAAAAGCATATTTTGAAAATGTAACAATAACAGTCAGTAAATATTTATATCCATTATTCTGATTGGAATATGGAATCATTTCAACCAATTCAATTTGCCAAGTATCATATCATATAAAAACAACTTATTTTTTTTTGGTAATGTTTGAGTTCTTAGAGATTAATGATTTCTTATAATGAATTACATCTTCTTTTATTTCTTTTGCCATTTTTTTAAGATGTTAGATACATTGGAGTAAATTTTCTATATGTCGAACATCCACATTTTATTTTCAAATTTTGAGCCACAAAATATTCGAAACCAAATATAACTTCGTGGTTCTGTTTTTTTTCTTATGGCTCTATCTCTTTTAACTTGGAGCGTATCCATTGGATCTGAATGTTACTAACAAACTAAAATTAGTTACTGAAATGTGTGCTTTAGAAAAGGCTTAGTACGCCGTATATATATATGTATATTATACACTATGTTTTACACAATTAAACAAAATATATATACATATATAGAAACTCCTTAGATGTAAGGACAACTTTTATCTTATATATTACAAAATTTCTAAATGGTATATAAAGAGCTAAAATGTAGACACTAAAGTCAGTTTACATTTAAAACTCGTTCTAAAATTAATAAATTTGATAGATCAAACTCCGTTATAGTAGATTTTCAATATTTTGTTGGAAATAACAATCAAATTTTTGTTAAGGAATTGGCCTTCATGCCTGGAGGAACTGTAATACAAAACTTCTTTCAATTCAAACCTCCATACAACATTAAGGATTTTAATTATGAAAATTTACAACATATTATTTATGGAAAAAAACATTAACGGATTGGACTGGATGGAAGAAGAAATACCTTATAACTGCTTAAGCGATGTACTTTCTCCACTGTACAAGTTTTCCAATATAACTGTACGTGGCTGAGTAAAAAATGAATTTTTATCCAAGTTTCTATCGAATAATATTATCGATATAGATATAGGAAAGAGCCTAACATGTTATCCTAATTTTTTTACAAACTGTAAAAATCACAAAAAACTTAAGCTTAGGTGTGTCTTAATAATTTATCTAAGCTTTTTGTAATTTTAGAAAATTGTAATTACGATATATACTATATCGTAATTATATACGGAGAATCATATGTATAAATTACATTAATAAACAGTATGATTTTAGTACTTAAATTGAGAAGTTGAGTTAGCAAAATGGATTGCAGCTTTGGAAAAGATCCTCGTAAAAAGGGATACAGTCAACTTACATACTGCAACTATTGTGGTTCTGATACTCATTTTGAAAAGGACTGCGCTAAAAATCGGGACCAGGAGAAGAATCATAAACAAAAATATTTATCAAAAAGTTTTATGTATGCGCAAGCATATATTAAATTTATTCAATATATTTCAGTAATGAAAATGGAAGTAACAATTAGTACTGGGGGTTATTATAATGACGGGGAAATGATGGATGACCGTGACTGCAGCTCGATCTGCAGTGGCTCACGATTGAGTGAAGACTGACTTCAGTCGAACGAGATCGCCGCACTAGAGAATGCAGTCGCATACATAACACCCCTTAACACCCAGACGGATCGTAGAACTGGGGCCGACGACGGTCACGGGCCGATCTGCGTGGCGGTCCTTCAGTCCCGTCTTGCTCAGGCAAGCGCTGTGGCCCAGCTGGAGTTGAGGATCCGCCAGCTACTGCGTCAGTTGGGGTTGGAGTGGAACAGCAAGTTGGAAATACTGTCTGCTCTGGTGTTGGCTGCTGCGAAGGACTACGCAATCGCAGCTGATCCAGATGTCGTCTGACTGTTCGGTCGTCCTCGAGACACACCGAATAGGAAATCGGTCCCGTTCGCTTCGAGACGTGGCCCTCAAGCCACTTGGGACCGCTTGCATAGTTTCGGACCCAAGCAGGGCTGCCTGTAACTTTTAGTTTGGGCATCGCAGATCTTACCATATGATCTTTTGCCTGGACTTAATTTGTCAAAGAATGTCTGGAGCCCCCTATTGAATAGTAACTCCGCTGGCGAATGCTTCGTAACGGAATGGGGCGTAGTGTGCTGGTCAAACAAGAAACGAGCTAACGCTAAGTTGACATCTGTTTGACGATCTAGTTTCTTCAGGTAACTCTTCGTGGTTTGAACCATTCGTTCAGCCTGTCCGTTGGTTGCAGGGTGGAACGGCGAGGATCGGATATGACGGATCCGATTGTTTTTTGTAAACAACATAAACTTCTCGGAGGTGAAAGCAGTTCCGTTGTCGGACACGATTTCATCCGGAATGCCATGGGTGGCGAACAGTTGCCGAAGGAAGGTGATTGCAGCTGACGCGGATGTCGATTTTACGAGGCAGACTTCAAGCCACTTCGTAAAAGAGTCGACGACTAACACAAACGTGTTCCCTCGGAAAGGTCCGGCAAAATCAATGTGCAGGCGGGACCATGGTTTCTTGGCAGACTCCCAGTGATGTCCGATCGTTGGGGGGAATTTCTCGTATGTTGGCACGCTAAACATTGACTCACCGCCTTCTCGATATCTGCATCCAGACCGGGCCACCAGACGTAACTGCGGGCTAAAGCCTTCATTCTAACGATTCCGGGATGGTGCGCGTGCAACGCAGAGAGAATTTCCTGCCTGTCCGTCAAGGGAATAACTGCTCGATTACCCCAAAATAATATTCCTTGATTACTGGCCAGTTCGTTTCGCCGAACTAGCACTACTCCATCCCCTTAACACCCAGTTGAGCACCTTTCTGAGGCTGCAATCCTTAGACGTGTTGGTAGCTAGGGTGTTCGCGGTGACAGTGGGACCAGTTGCCCATTCGATCATGAAAACTTCTTCCGTTCTAGGCTCATAGTGTATATCCGACGTTGGGCAGCGGCTTAGGAAATCTGCATTACTTATTTTTGTTCCAGGCTGATGAATCAATTTGAATTTATACGCTCTCAAAAAAATTGCTCGACGCATCATCGGGTTGGAAATGATTTGAGGGATTGGCTTTTCTGTCGCAAAAATTCCAAGCAGTGGGCGATGATCTGTAATAAGCGTGAACTTTCTTCCGTATAAATAGTTATGGAATTTTTTGACACCTGCGACCAAGGCTACCGCTTCTCTGTCGATCTGGGAGTAGTTCCTCTCTGCCTTTGACAGCAAGAGTAAAACGCAATCGGTTTCTGTGTTCCGTCTTCCATTTCGTGGCTAAGCACTGCTCCTAACCCGTATGGTGACGCATCGCAAGTTAAGATCAGTGGGCGGTCCGGAGAGTAATGAATAAGGACCGCATCCGATGCGATCAGATTCTTTAGTTCTGCGAATGCTTTTTGGTGCTCTGGACGCCATGTCCATTGTACGTTCTTGTCTAGAAGTCTATGTAATGGCTCCGCAATGGTGGCTTTCTGGGGCAAAAATGAGTGATAAAAATTGGTCAGTCCCAGAAACGCTTGCAATTGTTTTTTCTCTTTTGGTGGTGGCGCCTCATGGATGGCTCTAACTTTTTCGGCTGATGACCTAATGCCGAGAGCGTCCACTTTGAATCCAAGAAATTCGATGGAAGATACCCCAAACTGACATTTGTCCTTGCGCAGACGTAATCCTGCCTGGTCCATACGGGCTAAAACTTCGCCTAAACTACTCGCAAGTTCTTCTTCTGATTTACCCATAATTACAATATCGTCAAAATACGGAAGGACGCCCGGTATATTTTGCAGTATTCTTTCAATGCAGCTTTGGAATATTCCTGGGGCAGCTGAAATTCCGAATTGTAGTCTTGCTACCTTAAATGCTCCTTTGTGAGTAGCGATTGTTTGCATCAAAGCTGATTTCTCGTCTACTACCAATTGTTGATACGCTTGGGCCAAATCTATTTTTGCGAAAATTGAGCCTCCTTCTATCGAAGCTAATAGCGTGTTGATTGCAGAAATTTGATGGCAGTGCGGTTGTATCGCTCTGTTAAGCGTAGACTTATAATCTCCACAACTTCGAATGGAACCATCTTTCTTGACTATGGGGACAGTCGGAGTGGCCCACTCAGAGTACTCTACAGGCTCAAGTATTCTTTGGGCACAGAGACGGTCCAATTCTTCTTCATATGGCTTGAGGAGTGCGTAAGGAATTCGACGCGGTGGTAGTCTGACCGGCGGAACCTCCTGGTCCACTTTGAGAGCCACTGGCGGCCCCGTATACCGGCCAAGTTCTGATGAAAACAAATGGTCGAATTTTCTTAGAATTTCCGCGATACCATTGCCGCACTGCGGATTCCGAGGGGTTCAAACCAGTTGCATCCTAAAAGGTTTGACCCGGTGCCGGACGTGACGACCAATGGCAGATTGCAGATACGCCGATTGTTGTAGTGGATTGACGTGTCGGTGATTCCCTTGACCGGAATGGGGTTACGTTGATAGTCGCTTAGCTTTAGGTGGCACTTGACGAGATCGGGATTACCGTTTGGCCAGATGTATCGATACGAAGACTCCTTCATGATGGTGACGGGCGACCCGGAATCAACTTCGAACTGGCATGATCGACCGTTGATGACCACGGCCACAGATTTCTTGGGGCTGACCACCGGAACTATTTGATGAACGCGTCTGTGCGATGGCCTGTTGTTACGCATATTACTGGGCGTAGGAGATGAAGATTTTGTTGACCCAGCTTGACTGTTACTGCGGCATACCCGACGTATGTGGCCAGTTCGACCACAGGAATGACAAGTGGCGTTGCGGAACGGGCACTTCTTACGGACGTGCCGACCTCCGCAACCCGCACAACTCGAACTTATTCCGTGGATGGACTCGGTGCTCGAAGACTCGAGGCGTCGGATATTGTCGCCTCGAATCGACAACGCACTCGCAGCGGCTGCTTCACTAGCGACGGCTCGTTCCATGGCCCGCTGCACCGTCAATTCGGGGTTAGCAATTCGGCTAGCAGGCTTCGCTGAAGACCTTCGTCGCGCATGCCACACACAAATCGGTCCCGCAACATGCGATCCAGCATCTGTCCGAAATTGCACCCTACCGCCAGGCTTCTTAATGTGGCCATGTAGTTACCGACGGCCTCGTCGGGTTGCTGATAACGCTTGTGGAAATGGTAGAATGCAGCAATCTCCGATTGGCGTGGTGCCGACTGGTTAGTGACTGGTTAATATATCATAGACTTCTGTTAATTCCAAATCACTGACTTGCCTGGGGGATGCTAACGACACTAGTAACTCATAAAGGGGTGCGCCCGATAGTGTAAGAAACGCCGCCTTCTTTCGGTCCTTGTTCACGATGCCATTCGCTAAAAGGTACAGCTCGAAGCGATCTCGATACGCCTTCCATTTCCCAGGGGTTAGCAAGTCGAAAGGTTCCAGAGTTCCAACTCCCGCCATGGCGACTCCGCAAGTTTGGAAAACCGCTTTCCGCTTATCCGTACTGGCCGTAGTATTTGGCTCAACTGTACAGCCGCTCTCAGCGAGACTCCCTCGTGGAGTTGATTGATTATCACTTATTTCTTGTTTTACCTCTTCGCCGGAGCTTTTCTCAGCTTGACCGACAGTTCGGCGCTTATCCATGTGCTTGCTTCAAGAATAATACGACTACCGGAATTGGACGTATGGTAAATACTCGTCACCGTCGATTCCGTCTCTCTTTCTCCCTGTACGATAATTGTTGAATTTAATTAGCTTACGCTCAGGGATTAGTATCCCATCCTCGTCGCTAATTTTATGTATGCGCAAGCATATATTAAATTTATTCAATATATTTCAGTAATGAAAATGGAAGTAACAATTAGTACTGGGGGTTATTATAATGACGGGGAAATGATGGATGGCCGTGACTGCAGCTCGATCTACAGTGGCTCACGATTGAGTGAAGACTGACATCAGTCGAACGAGATCGCCGCACGAGAGAATGCAGTCGCATACATAACAAAATGTTTACACAATTTGTTCATCCTTTTCAATGTTTATTTGTGGACCCCCAGGATCGGGTAAAACAACACTTTTGAAAAACTTAATAAATGAAAGGAAAGACTTAATAAGTACTTCAACAGATAGAACAATATGGTGCTGCGGTGAAGAGCAAGCGAAACCAAATTTACCAATATTGAATATTACCATGAACCTATACTTTTGCTATTAGATGATTTGATGATGGGAGCATTTAATAAAAATGTATGCGAACTTTTTACCAAAGGATCTCATCATCGAAATTTAACTGTAATTGTCGTAACACAAAATATATTTCATAAATTTTCTATGGGCCGTGTGAGTAGTCTGGATGCCGTCCGCACTACTGCTCTGTGTGCCTGTCCATCTTTTCCTGTGTGAAGCTCGTTGACTGTGCCATTTGCGTCTATGTATAGGACTAGGTTACTAAGATACTCCTTCAGCCATCTCTTTTGAAACCTGTTCGCGATCTGTCCTGCAATTCAATAACTCTTACCAAGTAGGATACCCGTGTTAGAGTACTAGTACAACTCAGTAGGAAATGGTTCGGGGTCAACGCTTCTGCTTCTGTTGTCTCTAGTGGAATGTAGGTTAGCGGTCTGCTGTTAAGTATGTTCTCTATCTTAGCAAGAGCCGCTCTCGGACTAGGTCCACCATTATTTGTACCCCACCATCGAAAAGCGATGGGAAACAGGTTTTCTCTGGCGCCATGACAAGATAGAGCTACCGTCCTCACTACAGGTGGTAAATCATGCTTGCCTAGAGTCGCGAATGGAAAAAGACCCAGAACTCGGAAACTTCGTGAACCGTCGGCTGAAGCTATGCAAAGAAAATGGATACGCACGTAAACTTGAGAAGAACGAGATTACAGATGAGAAATGTTCCTGGTACTTGCCAATATTCGTAGTCACTAATCCGAATAAGCGCAAGTCGAGAATTGTATGAGACCATTGTATAGGGTGTATAGGAAATAGAAAGAAATATATAGGGTGTATGGTATATATAGGAAAGAAGGGTGTGTGAAAAGTTTCAAGTCGATAGCTTTAAAACTAAGACTAGTTTGCGTAGAAACAGACCGACGGACATGCTCATATCAACTCAGGAGGTGATCCTGATCAAGAATATATATACTTTATAGGGTTGGAGATGTCTCCTTCACTGCGTTGCACACTTTTGGACAAAATTATAATACCTTCTGTAAGGGTCGATCAATATAAGTGTGTATAAAATAAATAATAAATTTATAATAAATAAATAAATATAATATTAATAAGTTTAGTTACTTTGTAAAACACACCCCGCTTATTGGCTTATGGCTAATTTTTTTGACGTTCCTCTATAAGATGGCAGATTTCGCTGTTGTACTGCAAGCAAAAAATTTTTGTATTTGTATTATTCAATAAAATACGTTTACTTACCATTTTTTCAGCATCCATGATCGTTGTATTCATATTGTAAGTTTTTTGTTTATAAGTTTTTTTCTAATGGCGCAATAAGTGTTGTGCAGCGTCAAAACACGTAAATCGGGTAAATGGCCAGTATTGGCGAATCAGGGTCAGAAAATATCGGGACTTGATTCCTCAAAATCTGTGGGAGCGATTTTGATGAGACTGGTACCATTCGAATGGGCTAAAAATTAGTTTTCTCGTGGAATACCGTGCATAATGGCGCATCCTCTTTAAGAAAAGGTAAACAATTATAATCGCGGCTGCCGTGTTGGGCAGCGTCAAAACACGTAAATCGGGTAAATGGCCAGTATTAACGAATCAGGGTCAGAAAATTTCGGGACTTGATTCCCCAAAATCTGTAGGAGCGATTTTGATAAGACTGGTACCATTCGAATGGGCTGAAAATTAGTTTTCTGGTGGTATTTCGAGATTAGAATTAGAATTTACTCGTGGTAAATTTCGGTACTTGATTAAGGGTCAGAAAATTTCGGGACTTGATACATTTACACGAATAAACAAGAAAGGAAAGCTAACTTCGGGCGGAGCCGAAGTTTAAATACCCTTGCAGTTAAAACCTTTATCCGGTCGCAAACATCGGATATAGTGGGCCGATCCTTATGAAATTTGGTAGGATGGATCAAAATATAATCTGTACCAAGTTCCAGCTTTCTATCTTCAAAATCACAAAAGTTGGGTCATTTCCGATCGTTCAGTTATATGACAGCTTTAGGATATAGTCGGCCGATCCTAATGAAATTTGAAATCATGTCAAATTTGAACTCTCTAACTCTAAAAACACCGAAGTAATACCATTTCCGATCAATCAGTTATATGGCAGCTATAGGATATAGTCGACCGATTCCGGTCGTTCCGACTTATATACTGCGTGCAATGGAAAGAAGGGTGTGTGCAAAGTTTCAAGTCGATAGCTTTAAAACTGAGAGACTAGTTTGCGTAGAAACAGACAGACGGACAGACAGACGGACAGACGGACGAACGGACATGCTCATATCAACTCAGGAGGTGATCGGAGGGTCGGAGATGTCTCCTTCACTGCGTTGCACACTTTTGACCAAAATTATAATACCTTCTGCAAGGGTATAAATATACCCTTGTTCTCTACGAGTACCGGATATATCCAATACAGAATAATACAGAGATAATACAGAAGAACTTAGATCGAGAGCTCTTCTGAATTGGCTTAAATCTTATAAAATCATATAAGTTGAATCCGAAGTTGAAATACTCTTGCAGTTTAAACCGGATATTTATCGCAAACATCGGATGTAGTTGGCCGATCCTTATGAGAATATGATATCACCCAATTTATTATAATAAAAAATTTTGTTATAAAATTTAATTAAAAAAAGTTGATATTTCTACCAAAAACCATTTAAGATCGTTCAGTTATATGGCAGCTTTAAGATATAATCGACCGATCGTTATGAAATTTCGTAGGTCAGATTAACTGACCAAATCTAAAATCTGTACCAAGTTCCAAGTTCTTCAAAAACACAAAAGTTGGGTTATTTTCGATCGTTCAGTTATATGGCAGCTATAAGATATAAATAAAATTTGGCATGTCAAAATGTTTTGCCATGAATAGCTCTCATGTCAAAATTAAACTCTCTAACTTTAAAAACACCAAAGTTATAGTATTCCCGATCAATCAGTTATATGGCAGCTGTGGGATATAGTCTTATAGACTTATATACTGCGTGCCAGAGCGCACGGCATACCTCTCAACACAGCATTACTAAAAGGACCGGATCAACTACCTTCTCTACATAAGAGAAACATAAGAGAAATGTTTCACCAAGTGATGATCGGAGGACCAGCAAGCACAGCAATTTCTCTGATGGTATGGAGATACGAGGCAAGAGCCCGATAGATATGTTATGACGGTCATGACTTTCGGCGCCTCTTGTTCCCCAGTGGCCGCGACATATATAGGGAACAAAAACGTCAAGCGATTCACCTCACAGAATCCAGATGCAGTAGAAGCGATACTACGGAATACTTTCGTGGACGATTGGCTTTAAAGCAGTGAATCTTAAGACAAGATGACGCGCCGAGCTATGGAGGTCCAAGAAATACATCTTTGCGACGATAGCGAAGAGAAGCATATTGAGTGTGATCATGTTCATTTTGATCCACTCGGTTAACTAGGATTTTATATTATACAGGAAAAATTGATTCGGCAAGCATTATGGAGATCCGCGATGGGCTGAGATGAACCAGTAGAAGACGAAAAAGGTCATGGTTGAAACCATTGGAAGCAGCCACTTCAACTTCAGCAACAGTCACGCGGTATGACACATAAAGCAACAGAAACTCATGAAGCAATTACATATCTTTGTAGATGCCAGTATAAACGCCTTTTCAGCAGTCGCTTACCTACGCAATAGATGGCAAAGATCTGTAAATTGTACACTACTAGCATCAAAACTTCGACTAGCCAAGTTTATAGCAGCAGAGCTCTCTTTTGAAGCGACGTTTAATATTGGTAACGTTACGATGACCGAAAGTCTTAAAGTATCATCAACGAATAGGAGAAATCTTAGACACCTCCGAGCCCAAGGAGTAGAGATGGGTGCCGTCATCAATGAACGTCGCCGATGACGAAGTGGACCAAAGAATCGAAGTGGACGAACGAAGTGGACCAAAGAATCAAAATTCGAAGGAGGCTCAAGATGGTTTAAATGACCTATCTGTACGAGTCGGAATCCCTCTGTCCAGTAACCGAGCTGGAACCCCACAACTTGGAAAGGATTCACACCCATAATTTACAAGAGACAACTAAATCGAATATAGAAGCCATCCTCCCATATGTACATCTACGAAACCTAGACGACTTACACAGCATTGTAATATGCACAAATATATATATATACATATTGACCAACTACTGTACCAAGAGTACTAAAAGGGGCACACACTGTAATACTTTGTCGCAGTGTTTACAAAGTTCGAGGTCTCGGTCATAAACCT